GGAGGCGAGCTCGGGCGCGCGCGTCCCAGGAGGAGGATGCCGGCTCCGGTCCGCGCTCACCTCCCAGCAACCACCTGCTGTCCCGTATACCAATCACTTCCACGTTTTTATTTCGCTTTGGCCACGGAACTAGAAGAACTCTGACTTTCCCACAAATTCGGGAGACAATAACGACAAGGACCGTAGGAGCAGCGATTCCCCACATTTTGAACGAAGAAAAGGAAGATAATTTCACTCCAGTGGCCTCAGGCTGCTTTCGGCTCACGTTTCTCAATCTCTCATACTCGAAACAGTTTTCCAAAACCCGGCCAGAGCTAAGTAAGGGCAGTTATTGTCTGCACAGGAGTTACAGGGACACAGGGAACTGGGCCAGTGAGCGCCAGCCTGGGGTCCAGGCAGGGATGCCCTACCCTCCCCCAAGCGCAAAGCGAGGGGGAAACAAACATCCCACAGTCTAAACCGGGCCCGGCGGAGGCGTGTCAGCCTCTCCCGCAGCTCGGACCCGCCGCGCTCCCGCCGCGCTCACCCGAGGTGGTGCCTCTCAACCTGCTGAGCTCCCCTCCCGCGTCTACGCCCAAGTGGAAAACGAAGCGCATCAGCCGCACCCTCCTCCAGCCATTCAAAACACCAGGACGCAACACTTCACAAAAGTCGGGCTTTGATTCCCACCCTCGGGAAGGGGCCGCAGGAGAAAAGAAAAACCCGGGGGGGAAAGTCTCTCTCTTCCACCCACCTAGTTATTTTAGGAGGAGAGACTGCAAACCAACCAGTTAAACGTCCCGGAGCTTGGGTCCAGTGGACAAATATATTAACACCCCCAGAAAGATAAACCGTTACCGGTTGCATCTAATCGCATTTCCTTTTAACTTCCTAATTGGGCAGAGACACTATCAAAACTCCCTTTAGAAATGGATTCCACTGTACGAAGCTTCCTAGCAATTTACTGAGCTGCCAGGAGGGAGTTTGCCACACGAGAATGAATTCCATTACAGTTTCCTTTGAGTACCCCAGTTCTAGAGCGCAACTCTAAAAACATCTAGAACTGTGGAAATAAAAGTTACCTTTATTCTAAAAGTTAATTAAGGAAGTTAAATTACTTTTGGATGAACGCATGTTTCAAGATAGCATCACCATGAAATTTTTTCTCTCCAGAAGGATTGCCTGAGTTTTTGGTAAGCTAACTACATTCCCTTCTGAAATTTTCTGTCTACCTTGTCATCTTATCCTGAAAACAGCAAAGAAGCCGCTTAAAGGAAGGACGTATGAACAGAACTGATTTGGAGAACTGACCTGCAGCCAGCCCAGGCCCTCCCTCGCCCAGGGTTTATTAGAGCACTGAGTTTATGTGTCTTATTCAGCCAACCGAACGGGGACAATACAGTGGTGATCTCCTCGACTTCTAGACTCCTAAACCAACCTGTGCCTGTTTACAGAGCAGAGCTGTGTTCGGAATTTGGAGAGTAGCTGACAAAGTTTTGTGGATTCAAACTATTAACAGCATTAGTTGAAAACATGTTTGCAGAAGCCAGCTTTTTCGGGCATGGAGTGTTCCTTAGCAATGATGCTCTGGTAATTAATGGTCTGAGTAATTAAGAGTCTGAATGGCGATTTTATTTTAAAGAAATAAGAAAAGAGGAATTCCTGTGCTCTGAAAACTCACTAAAAAGCTAAGTGGAGGAATTCCAGGCTGACCTAGTGAAAAACCAAGGAAAAGAAGGTTTAATTCTTTTCATACAAACTTAAAGTGCTTCTTACCAGTGTTTTCAAGTAAAAATCCTTCATTGTCTGACTTAATGAATAGATGAGATTACTTTGTAATTATTGACATATATTTGATTATTACAAAGGTGTTAAACTTTCCCCCCTTTATATTTTAAAGCTATTTTCATGTCATGTACAAGTCAACTTCAGCTTAGGTGAAATAATCACAACTTTCTAAATTTAATTTTCTCTTGAATTTATGTTGCCATTAACACCCAGTTCTAAGAATACAAATATATTTTATTTATATTTCAGAAATGAGTTCTTTTAATGAGTCTCTATGAAATGCATACTATAAAGATATTATACAAATATAATTCAGATGACCCAAACTTTTAGAAATGATAAAAAATGTTAAAAATAGAAATTTGTAATAGATGTGTGTAAAATATTTTGGTTTGTTAGATTTTTACAAGAGAGGAAAAGTTAGAAGGAAATCTACATTCTCTAATATTTACTTGGACACAAAGAGTTAAGTCCAAGAACATGTAACAATTATTTATTAATGGGAAGAAGTTGTTTTTCATCATTATTTAGCTAGCAAACTCATTTTACTTGCCTGAAATTTCTGACAACAGTGAAAAAAAAAATTTTTAAGACACACTCTGGCCATAACAGTGTAGAAACTAGCATGTGTGTGAAACTCCTTTTGGAAGGTACCATAGAGGAATCTGCAGATTCAGAAGGTGGAAGTGGACTGAAGGATTTAAACTGTTGACTTAGATATTTGACAGTTTTGTTGTTGATCCATTTCCCAACTTCTGTTTATAAACGTCATCTCAACAGGATGCTAAAGGGATTAGAAGGAGGCCGAAGTAATCACAGAAGGTGAGGATCCCCATCTGAGGGTGATGTTCTGTCACATGCTTCAGGAGATCTTGAAACAGCTTCTTAGAAACTCTCTCAGAGGAAGTTCCCCTTGGCATTGTGGAGGGATTTTTAGCATTGGCTGGTAGACTGGCATTGTCTCCCGGATTTCTTCGGTAACTGTGACTGATTTTTAAGCAAATTTCATGATGACATAAATGAATTCAGATGAATTATGCCTTAAGTAAAAACACGTAGTCTGAGGTTCAATAGTGCATCAGGACACAGCCAGAAGAACGCCAAAGCAGAACACACTCTTAATTTTTGTTCTTAACTTCACACTATAAATACTGTGCATCCTATTTTAAGGTGAAAGTCCAGTTGTTAACTATGAAATTTAAGTTTCATCAGCTGTTTGTTTGTTTGTTTTATGAGAGGCATGAATCAACCAACTTGTAAAATAATCCAAACCGTGACATTTGAAAAAAATTTTTAAAGTTTAAAAAATTTGAAATGTACAGTTTAATAAATAGCATATCATTTTATATGCCTCATGCAGGATATTGGCACACATGAGTCCAGGAGGAAATCTGGTAGTTCTCCAGATAACTTGGAATGAAAACCAGCTAACTATGACCATATAAGAAATCAAACTGAAAAAGTCAGGTCTCGAAGTGGCTTTCACCAAGGAAACTTCTTTTCATATTAGTAGGTTAATGTTTGTGCTCCTAAGCATAGCTAATTCTTTCTCCAAACACATGTGCTCGGAATGTGGTCATGACCTTAGTAATGTCTGTTGATGTTTGTAAATATTTTAAGAAGAGAATGATTCTGCAATGGTTCAAAACAAACATATGTTTTCTCCCCTTAGCTTTCTTTTTCTCCCTGGGAATTCAGGGGCAAAATAAATTTGAAGCCCTGATCTGCATCAACGTACAGAGCTTTGTCCCTGGGTATATGGGGGAGTAGCTATCGCAAGGCACTACGCTTTATTCTTTCAGGTAAACTTTTGTGTAATGCAGCCTAATAACACCATTACCAAACAACTATTGTTGTTAGAAAAATAGGCTATATCTGTGCATTTAAAATAAAGTGCTAAATTAAGGCAACCATACAAACAAGTTAAAA